ACACTTCGTTTCTTTGTCAACCACACTGCCCAGTGGAGTGAAAGAAAACATGATAAAACCAACGGACGCATGCTGGCATTCACGATAGATTTAGGCTTACATGCTCTAGAATCCCAGGCCACACCAGGAGAGTAATTCAAAGCAGACCTGCAAGAGGTTGTGTTAGACTTTCCGCTTTGTGGTTATGTCACTTCTCCCACCAGATTCAGTGGGAAAAACAGGCTATCCATATTGAACCGAATATTCACTAATGAAGAACTGATGATCGAGCGAGTGATAATCGGTACTCCTCTAAGCCGCAGTGATCATACGACTTTGCATTTCATGTACCTTTGCTATGCTGAATGTACCGAGGACAGAACTCAAACGACCAGAACTTTAACCAGTTACGACATCTTAACCCGACTAGTTGAAGAGACTGAGTGAAGTTTCCTAACCGTGGATGCACCCGATATCGCCTGGAACATTTCGTCAGTGAGTTTAACACCTTATTTAGTAGGGCATCGGAAACCAAGGTTATAAGTTCAAGAAACCTGGCGTCGTTTACCAGGAGTAGGACGCGCAAACGCATGATGATGCGCAACACGGTGTGGTATACCCTCAAAACCGATTCGAGTCCGAGTACCTGGAAGTCCTATGTTGTCCACCGTAACCACTGTACTCGAATAGTGCACGAGGACAAAGTAGCTTATCAACGTGCTTTAGCCGAGCGATTAAGTGCAAAGCCTAAGCTTCTGTGCACGCAATTGAACAGCCTCCAAAATGCGAAAAGTGGATTTCCTCCTCTTAAAACAGCGATTAGTCGAACTCGGACTGCTAAAGAATCGCCGAATTTTCTGCACCAACAATATGCACCAACGTTTCATTGTATCCCGTAGTCTGCTGACGCTTCGGAATCTATAGTGCCCACGCTAGGACTCAATCATTTAAAGTTTACGGCAGACATCGTGATGAGAAAGCTGCTATCCATGCGTCTGCAGGTCTGTCCAGGAATTGACGACATCTACCCAAAGACGCTTGTTGTGGCGACTACTATTTTGGCTGAAAATTTTGGCACGGCTGCTCCAGCACTGCCTTGACGAGCAGCACCTTCCTGCAATGTGGAAACACGGAATAATAACTCCCATCTACAAAGGGGTAGTCGTTCGGATCCAGCTAATCATCGACCAATGATGCTACTGCCAGTTGTTTCAAAAGTTATGGAAGCTATCATTGCCGATCGACTCATGTCTTATCTGGACGGCTTTAGTTACATTGCTCAGCAGCAACACGCCTTCAGCCAGAAACGGTCGTACAAAACCAACCTATTGTTAGCACGGGATAGCTGGACTGAAACGGTAGATGCTGGTGCAGGAGCTGATGTGGTTTACCTTGATTTCACTAAGGTGTCTCACCTGTTGGACCATCGTATTCCACTCACCAACCTTCAAGGATGTGGCATTGGAGACCCTCTCCTCGTGTGAATCTGCAATTTTCTCTCGCACAGGCGTCTGGAGGTAAGAGTACCTAAATCCGTGTCAGACCCAATTCACATCGAATGCGGAGTGCCACAGGGTTCGGTATTGGGGCCCCGTCTATTTTTGGTCTTCATAAACTATCTAGTGAGTCAACTTGTGTTGAACTATTTACTCTACGCCGATGACATCAAAGTTTAACGGGTGATCAGAGCTCCAGAAGACCGTATCCAGCTTCAAATCGATCTTGACAAGATTTATGGATGGTCAGTCAAAATGCGCCTTTCCTTCAATGTGGCTAAATGTAGAGTGCTCCTTTTAAGACACCAAATGGTCCACACATATAAGCTGGGGGACCAGGATCTGCAACACTGTTCTTTTGAAAAGGATCTCGGTGTGTTGGTTCTGGAAGATGTCGGCTGCTCGGAGCAGTCTAAAATGGCATTGAACAAGGGGATCCAAATCGACGGGCTTTTACGGAGAGCTTTCGATAAATTCGAACCGTCGATTTTCCGTCAAATACTTCCCGCTTATATACGCACTCATGTTGAATACGCAATTCAGGCATGGTACCCATGGCTAAAGCGGAATCTCACGATCCTGGAGCTTCCACAACGTCGGGCGAGCAAAAATGTCAACGTGCTACGCCACTTGTCATCCGAACAGCGCCTCAAAGTTCTTGGCATTTTCAGCGGACGCTATCGCCGTTTGCGTGGTGATCAAGTCATGGCTTACCAAATATTAAACAACACTAATCACTCCTGCCATCATCTATTGAAGTTTAGTCACAACAACCAACTGAGAGACCGTGGTCTCAAATTGGCAGAACATTACAGTCGGATGAAGTGTCGAAGGCATTTCTTCTGGCTGCCTGTTTGCCGCACTTGGAATACCCTCTCGGAAGCTGTTTATTCAGCCCCCACGTTAGCCGTGTTCAAAGCACGTGTCGACAGTGCACTGGCCACACTACACCATATCATGTAATCCAAACGACCCATACAAACAGCAGAAAAACATAAACAAACCAACCCACCTCCATTTTTGCCCGGAAACCACAGACGATTGACTTGGATAGTACATAAAACGGACGGGAACGCTAAAATCGGAAAGTTCGCAATGTACGGCTGTTCACTATTTCCTACCGCTATTTGTACCTTTAGTTTTATCACCCCTAACCGATCATCCGGTGAGACATATCAAGCTTCGGCATTTTTATCCGCAATATACCATTGACCATTGACACAATACAGGCGACCCACTTTTCACTAGGTCGACTGTTAACAAATAATTCCCACAGACCAAGTAGAGCCATTCATCGGAATGTACGATGCAGAGGACGGTTGTGAGTTACTTTTTTCACTGCCCTTCTTCCTCCCTCGTTTCTAATGCTGCTGTTATTTTGCTTTTAGTTATTCTGAACCTATAAATGGTGACGCTGTCCATACCGCGGCATCTTCATCTTTGTGGCATCCTTTCTGCCTGTTTGGGACTAACGCTTTGGTAGTTGCACACTAGTTTTCAATAACCTGAAGTCCAGTGAACACTGATCGCGTAGGATTGTCAAAGAACGAATTTCGAATGTCAACTGACGTTGAAGGAGCAGATAATGTAATGTCTGAAGATGAAGGCATGCGGTCATGATCTATAGATACTGAAGTTAGAATGATAATACTACATTCAGCAGAACTATATGCTGATGCGGACTGGACTTGCGGATGGTATACCTATGCATTGGGTGTGGTTGAAGTCAAGGGGACAAGAAGGACTTGATTGGCACAGATATACTGTGGCTCCTTAAACTGGGCAGCAAGAAAATCATTCTCGTTACAAACACAAGGACTAACCGGCGAAATCTCGCAGGACTCAAAGCCCTTTGTGGCAGTAGCAGCGGTTGCTGCTTTGTTGAAAGCTTGTATAACTATTGAGGCCAGTTCAAACAAGAAAATTCCTTGAAGAGGATGATTTAGCATCTACTGATCAGCAAAGGTATTGAATGCCGACTTCAAGGGCTTGAAAAAAGTACAATCGCACGGCTGGAGGCGATGTGTACAATGCGGTGGCAATGTCAGCGTGGTACCATGGTTACCAGACGCCAATTCTACAGCAACAAGAGTCTTATGACTTTGGTGGCCATCGAGTATTAACAAAGTAGGTTCTGTCATCGAAGAATTAACGTTAGTAATGAAATCTTTGAGCCATTTTATGAATTGATCTGTATCGAACCATCTATCACCCGGAAAGAGTCAACTGATTCGGCAGATGCTCACTTCGACAGATTGGGATCCCACAGTTTCTTCAGGAACCTGAACATTGGTGGGATGTAGGTCCTCGTTGTATTAAACGTAAAAATGACGATCACATATTGCCTCATTACAAAACTTGTCATTTTTCCTATGGTACGCTTTCTTTGTCGAGACAAAATTCGTGTAGGCTTTTGAACACAGGAAAAACCAGTCTCATCCATATTCAAAATCCTACTTCCTGTAAATGAGTGAGATCTTAACACGAAACGCAGTCGTAAACTCTGTCTACTTTTACCTTGTTGAATCCAGTTGCAGGAGAAAGCCGGCTGCCTCAGGACTTCTAACTGAAATCGAAGGAGTTCTTATTAGGAACCCCTCTAGCCAACTTTGGTCTGCAGATTTAGTCTCATTGTTGAATCGATGAGGTAGGTTCATCTTTGCTGCGAGATCATATACCATAGGTCGAACGTCTATGGTCGTCAAACCAAACAGCATTACTTCCATTGTCTTTAACTTTGGACTAAGTGCTTCTTCCAACTTCGGCTGAAATTCTGTTCTGAAGCTACCCAGAAATACATAAGTAGGTATAAAGATCTAAGAAACAGAAAATAACACTGCAAAATGCAATTACTTCCTTGTCTCTGTGTCGCTTTAAGGTTTGTCGGTCAATGTTGAACTTCTTAGAAGTCATCCATGAAAATGCTATTTTGCAAGTCCCCCAGTGCTAACTGCAGGTTTTGTGCCCCATTTTCTCTTCGCTCACTTCTTCGCATATGCATTCGTCATTAAGTGTTACTAGGAAGTAGCAGTATAAAATAGATATAAAACAAATGCGGGCAAGACACCCATGGGCGTCTACGCACAATGAGTGCAACTCAAAATAATTAATTTTATCGCATGATATATGGTAGCAGAACATGACACAGGGGTTCATTTAATCTATATTTTAATGCAAATTTTTAAGAAATCATAACAAAAGTACTTGTTATACCCTTCAGATTCAAATACGCCTAATAGACATGCAAAAATTAGGCGAAAAAGAAAGCAAAACATATCAGTGCATCAATTCACCAGTGAGAAGGGCATTCAGTAGCTGGTTTTTATGTATGATGCAGGGGAGGCGAACATGAAACTGTCGAAACTACGATCTTGAGTAGGATATGAACCGCATTGGGAAAACATATGAGTAAGCATCTTACCCGCAGTGAGCGTCATAACCCGCTCTTCCCTACTATCCATTACTGACATTTACTACCACCGCTGCCAACAGTATGAGTCCTACTGTCTCCTTAATGTTCCACAGGTATCTCGAATTATGATACTCCCAGGGCGATGGAGCTGCGCCAAGCCCTGCTTCGATACCTATACAACAACGGGCCTGTCAACACGCTTCTCGATGGCAACCGAGAGAATGGCTCGCTTTCACAAGCCATTCAGTCACAAATCGACGCCTTAGTGGATGAGCTGAACAAAACTGCGGGAGAACCTGTCAGTGTGACGTGAGTTCATCAAGATCATACATGGTCTGAACTCATGAAGTATGTGTGGATGACGGTACAGTAATTTGGATAAGAAAACACTCGGATCAGAAATAGAGCAATGGTTTTTACGGGTATCAAAGCGAATGCTTAACATTTCCCGTAGGATGGTAAGGATGAAAATTATAAACTAAACAACCTTGTCATTAAAATGATATGTGAGATACAGGACTCACCAAGGGGTTTAGAGTAGCACGTGTGTGAGTATTCCTGACAGCAATGGGAGGGTTATGACACTGTCCATTTTTGTTCTGCACTAATGCCATCATCTGATGAGCATGGGCTATATCTCGTGGTGTAACATAGTCATGGCGTCGTCAATGCGTTTTTCGAATAGGGCTAAGGGGGGGTACATTAATTACGTGCGCTGGAAGGGAGTGCCAGAGCTGTAACACACGTAGAGAGAAAATGTTTCGTCGACCTTCCAATCGGCTGTATTGTGCGACCAACTTGGCTGAGTTTAAAAGGATGCTGGCATGTGTGATTGGGGTATTTATGATATGAATCACCATTATTAAGACTCCCCGTGGAGACCGATAAAGTCCGCTGCACTTTTTGAGTGTTTACAGCCTGAGTGGGTGGGGAAGGTGGAACGAACCACCAACATTCTTTGTCGCTCTGCGTTTTGCTGCATTTAGCGCGATGAAGTGGTGCTTCTGCCAGGGTTGCTACGCTTGGACAGAGTCTTCTGCGTGCGGCCTCACTTCTGCACCAAGCATTTTAGGAAAGACTGAGGCGTCAAACTTCCCGATTGCTCTACGAAGAAGGCCGAAGTGCTGGTGTACTGTCTGAGGCCTTTACAGTCTGCCCCAAACAACCAAGGTCATCTTGCACGAGCACGCCAAGACCGCACTCATGGGAAGGTCTCTGTAGAATTTGGGGCCCTAACCGGTAGCTGCGAGTGCTCTGATGGCATATGCCCAGAATTTTGAACTTCGTGGTGTTGAAATGCAGCATGTTCTTGATGGACCATGTGTACGTGTTATTCAAGTTATCCTGTAGGGACGTGTGATAGTGATAGCATGCCATATTTTTAGATTATCGGCAACTAGTAGGCAGTTTGAAGATAGCATGTTCGCGAGGTCATTTCTGAAGAACAGGGACCGGCGTGGCCCGAGTACCGAGGCCTGAGGAAAGCCGCACTGAACTTCGATTGGTTCCGATAGAGTGCTGCGAAACCTCATATTCGGGTGATGTCGAACGAGGAAGTCGCCTAGCCAGCCCAGAAAAACAACACCGATTCCGTAATTCTGCAGTTTGTGTAGTAGAATGCGATGGTTCAGACGGTCGTTTGGTTTTGAGCAGTTCACGTAGGTGGCATCTACTCCTACACCAGCATCCACTGATTACGTCCAGCATGCACGAGCTATCGATATGTTACTAGTACAGAACCGATTTTGGCGAATTCCGTACTGCTCCGGAACGAGCATTTCATTACTCTCCAGGAACCCCAAGAGTGTCTGGTAAATGAATTGATGGATTGCGCTGAGAGCGCTTTGTTGAATGAAGGTATAAAGGATGGCACACACTAGAAAATAAGCTTCGCGTATAACGATTTTTCTGCAAATCCTGCCGTAATTGCAGTAATGAATACAACGATGGTGTGCGATACATAATTCCGCAGTGATAGAGCCTTTAGATAGCGCTGGTCACTCCGAGTTAGAGAAGTGTAAGCAAACTGATGTACGTCGAGTATTGTGAGTGGTAAATCCAAAAACAGAAGAGGGTCGAGTAAGTACGACCACATGGCTTGCTGACCAATGTCACTATCAGTAGTTCCTTGGGTAGCGTTTACGTCATCGGACAGCGAAAAAGGAGCTCGAAACATTTGGATGTCTGCCGATGCAGCTGATATGCGCAGAGACCAGATCACTTGAACAGTTAATATACCAGCAGGGAACAGCATCATTAAATCAACTGGTATGACAACAACTGTTCTTGAACCAGCTGTACTCCGGACAGAGTCCGCATTCAAGTATCACCGATGCGGATCTACTCATTTTAACCAAACGTTTCTTCACACTTTTGCCAAGCGTCTATAGGCGATGTTGAGCCTAGCGCCTAATAGCATCAACATCGATCGCGACACTAGTGGCATGGATAGCGACGAATTCTTGTTTCTATTCTCCCGAATGTGGACTGGTGGTACGGGATGCTTAATGTGCGCCACTGCGCGCATTAACATTGTGTTTAATCTAACTGTGGCCGATTGGATTAATTAGGGCACCGAGTGGAACCGGATGGAGTGGCCCGATGTTTTCTGCAAGTGGAATTTAGCTCACTAGTGATTGACCCGATCAATTCACTATATTGAACAGCATTCACAAAGACCAGTTTTTATAGTAGGATACTTGTTAAGCACTCGCTGCGACACGTAATCAAAGTGTGGACTACGATTCGCATAGTAGTGAACCATGGTCAAGACGATTACTTGAAGAGTAACTGACGAAGCAGAATGATATTGGCTGTTACCCACACGAAGACACCCAGGTAATGACTAGGCACACATGCCCGATTTCCGAAGTATCAGTGCTAATTAAGCAAATTAACCCGAAAACTTTTATCACGGCTAGCAACATAATCCGAGATATGCTTTGCCTTATGTCAGTGGCCTACATCTTGCACGTCAGTTGGCTGCAACTGTGCCTCAATGCAGTGTAACAAGCTGAATATACCTGAGCTGCGCAGCTTTCTTTTTAAACACATCGTCTTGGTCTGTTCCACTTTACAATGCATCGTGCTTTTTCTCCATTTTTCAGACCCATTATGCGTCGAGCGGTTTGGCGGATTATGTGGGAAATTGTTTTCGGACACAAGTGCGACATGGAGTCGGCAGATATCGATTACATGTTTCACCGAATTTCCGGCAACAACATGGAGAACACGGTGTTAAGCTGCGGACAACTGATGGATAAGCACTTGTGAGTACGCTGAGATAAATAGAGCCATATTTTATTTACACCGTCACCCCTGCAAACGATCCCACTGATTCTCAAAGCAACAGGCCGAGTTCCTAATAACGGCCAGTAAATAACCTCATTTGAGTGCAGATGACTTTATCGCAAGTAGACATAACCACACGACCACGAGAACACCGGGACCCGGACAAACAATCTGAATGTGTCAAGTTGCACTGGATAAAATAGCTCTGCCTGTCAGTCGTTTCAGGCTGTGCTTTGCACTACCATAATGCAAAGTCTATCTCCATGATTGGCAGGAACCCACTCCTGCGCTGAATCTTGGCGGTAATCAGCTAGAACTCGTCCAGAAGTTTGCGTACCTGGACAGCTATATAACGCCCGTGGGCTCGAAGAGGAGATCACGGACCGTATAGTAACAGTTCGAGATACTTTTGCCAATGTCCGCCACCTGTAGCTTCGGTGTGACATCACGGTTGTGAAACCTGGTTCATCAAGTCGACTGACAGAAGGAAGCTGGCTACTTTGGCTCATCACTGCCTTCACAGTTTAGCTCATGTCTGGTGGGTACACCTCGTGAGCAGTTAAGGTGTGCGGCGTCTTATATTTGGTGCAGGAAGGGCGAGTACACTGCTTAGCACCGTTATATCACGCATCAGACTCCGAGGGTTAGGCCACATGTTGCGCACGGCAGCACACTGACTCTCGTTTCGCGCGTTGTTTGCGCGACCGAGGTATGGATGGAAGAAGAGGAAGAGCGGCCAAGCGATGAATTGGTCAAAAGAAATGAAATCCCTCACTTCGACTTTGGCGTCGGTTGGTGTCTTCCGATTTCCGGGCTGGGTCCGAATTCCGATGAACACATTTGGCGAAGAGTTGGAGTCATCGGTGTTTGTGTTGTGAGTCTCTGTCCCTCCCCTCAGCTTTAGCTTCCCTCAACAACGTCAATCTCAAACCCAGTGCATAATATGATATTTAGTGTTAGGTTACTCTTAAAGCTTTGTAGTCTATAATGTTTAATCTCTTGTCTTTTTGTATTGCGTCGCATTAGCTGTGGTGTGTCTCACACCCTCGGTTAACATCTATTAATGATGATCCTGTGGCAAGAAACTTCCACTGCTGAGTCCGGAAGGGACAAGATGAGCGGATGCTACCCACCCTATTTCTGAGAATACCAGTCCCCAATTTACAGGATTCCCACTTATACCTTTGAAATCATATTCAGCCAGCTTCACTAGGTGGATCATAGTTCAAGGCAAGGCCTCACGCAAATGATAGGTGTACAGCAAAGTAGTCCTCAAACGACTGCTTGCGAAGTTCGATGTTAGCCGAACTGGGCAAACTACTTTCCATCCAGATTTTGGGAATATCAGTGCGTTGCGAGAGAGTGAGGTTGGTTAGCTAAAAAGCTGCGCGTGCGAGCAACTTATTTTGTCTGCTCTGTTGGAATCCACCTCAGTCGTATGTTTATAATGCTTCGAACTGACCTCCAATCCACGTGCAACGTTACAGGACAACAGAACCCGTCAAGCTCTCGTTACTTGTGCGATCACACAAACGCGATAAGTGGAATAAAAGGTCGCCTGAGAATTTGCCATCTGCTACTTTTCTTACTGGAACTTAAACACTCTTCACTCAATACTGGGCAGTTGGATTCAGCTCATTCACTTGAAATTATGTGTCGTAGCCTGTACACTGAGAGTCACAACGTTTTCCTAACTATCATTTTGCTCAAGCTGCGAAACCGTCAAACCGAATATTTCTACACGACCTTAGTATGCCACACTACACCGGTATACCAGTAAGTAGAGCCGTAGTCACTGCTCGAGGCAGCTGTCAAGTCGATAACTGACACCATTAGTCAATGGAACCAGATAGGGGAATTGCATTGGCGGCTACTGTTTAGTTAACGGAAGCGTTGGCCAGTATTGCCGACCTGGTAGGGATCGTCTGCTGAAGCAACAGCTACTTGGCAGCTACTGAGAATACTTATAGTTCGGCGTGCGGATGGGGATGTTCGGTTGTTCTCACCGTAGCCGAAATGCACACCAACTTTGTCTGCTAGGTTTTATCGGAGACAAACTGATCCAACTTTTAAACCAAAATTGTTGCGGAGCAGTCACCCAGGTGTCGTTCGTCTCACCTCAGTGATGAATAAACGGCCACAGTCGGTTGCACCAAATATCTTGTCGGAACTGATAAGTCCCGAGAAAGTCCAATTTTTATGTGACAGATTGCATTATCGATGCTCTTCACCAAACTAATGAGCATTCGTACTGTTTCAGACTGTCGGTTGCACAACTCATACCGGTGATCCGCCGAATGTTCCGCGTGCAACGCTTGGCCAAGCGTTACACTCAAGTGTGTGATGTGCTGAATGACGCGGTCAAGCGAGTAAGCGAGGAAAGCGTGGGATCCAGCTCATTGATCGACCGGCTCAAACGGGACACCAGGCTTTCAATTGAAAGTAAGCTTCTGATGAATGAATACTGTGTTTAGTTAGGCTTAATGAAGCTGGTAATAGCGGGTAACCAACAACCAAAGTTCCGCGTATGGGAATTGGGCTTTGAGCACCACATTAGAGTAGCTTATTTCCCCCGGTTTTAGCATGCCGCAATTACTGCGCTCCGGTCAACAGCATTCAGACAAACTGGAAAGATGAATCTTGCGAACTCCGAGGTAAGTCAGATAGTACATCAAGTCTAACAGAAATGCGAGTCGATACACATATATACACTCACTCTCTCTGGTTAACGTAGTGGCAGGCTAATGAGTCCGGGCATCAAGTCCGACCGTTAACAGTGTTCGTGGATTTGAAACAATTATGGACGGCAGCGACATCCTGTGAAAAGCCCAGTAACGGCCAGACTTACCTATGTGACTGAAAAGTGGTCATTGAATGGACTAGGAAAGCAGTAGTTTACGACCATCGGTGCTTTAGGAGTGCCGTTCAACTTTGGAACGAGAGTACTCATAGAGGTCCATCAATGCTCACCTGGAAAGAAGTCATCTGGTGCCGTTTACCAAACCAGATTCTGCAAGACCGGATCGGTCATATCCTTCGTATCTTTTTGACCCTCTACTTACATACACATTGTCAACAGATGCTGCAAATAAACGGGTATAAAGAATTCGACTTCGAGTGTTGGTCGAGACGGTAAGTACCACTTACATGGATGCGTATTTCGAGATAGTCCACGTCAGCTTCTGGGGAGGCATTATCCGATATGGCACCGTCGACTTGACTCATTTCGTCGTTGCAGCAGCTTACAAGTTTTAATGTGGTGACTCAAGTAGTATAAATCGAATACCTCGTCGCATAGTGCGCTGTTCACAGCCGATTGATTTAGGTAGCGAACTGAACCAACTGAAGATGGCACAGAAATGGTTCTTTTACAGCACCTTGCACTTGGTCAGTGAAGAGCAATTCGCTTCCGAGATCGTCATCAGGTGGGTAACATCCACTAGCCCAACTCGGCTTATCGTTTTATTGTGCCCCTTCTTACCAACTCGGGGTCTCGCCCAACTTGGAGCAATGGTGTCAGCCAGTACGGCTGGAGGTTGGCGATCGGATGTTGTGAGGGACGCTATTCTGCTAGAGCATATCAGTGGAATTTAGTAAAGGAAATCACCGCTCATTCGGTTACCCCGTAGCTCTGACATCACCGGTTGAGAAGGTCAAGATCAAAGAGTTTATCAACGACGGGTTATCAACGCTGTGGTCTTTAGGTTACAATGGTTTCATTCACACGCAGAAAGGTCACAGGGTTTTACAGTTTGTGCTGATAACCTTTCCTTTGGCTCTACCCCTTAGTCAAGTAAAGAATTCGTTTACCAGAGATGGCAGCGTGGCATTTGAACTGTGCACATTGAGTTAGTTCGGGAGTGCCAAGGCAACGTGTGCGGTGCTTGTGCCCACCGATTCAGAAGTGTCTGATTAACGGTTGGGCCCTAGCTTTAAATTACCACACAGCCAGCTACCCAATCGGTTGCCCGACCATTTTGGAAGAATCGAACAGGACAGAGCCACTTAATAAAAACGAGTAGCACCGTCTAACCATACTTAGGATGAAGTCAGTGGACCGCCTTCCACGGACTCGCCTAAAACACCAGAAGTCGCTGTATGTAGGAGAATTTCCTCCCTAGTGCTACTGATATGAAACGTTTGCCCAATCAGGTGGGACAAATTTAGTCAATAGAGACCTACAAGTCATGGAGCGTTACAACGGCAGACTGCCGTTACGTGTGGCAATGTGTGACCGACAATTGTGGTGGTGGAAGACGACTCGACATTCTATCAATGGAATCGTTCTGAAACCAGCGGGTTATCAGAATGCGCTGAATGTGAATATAGATGAGGTAATGAAAACGTGGGTTGCGCAGCCATAACCATGAATTGTTATTTTTAGCCGACTAGAGGTGGGGGGATATAAGGTAATAAATACTATCTTCTTGAAGTAGCGAGGCACGCATGAATAGACGTGAGCATAGTAATACTAACACGAAAGATCAGCAAATTTACAACAACGTTGCATGGTAAGCAGTGTCATACTGGATTTATGTGGTATATATATAAATATCGCTGTGGATGTTTGTAACTGTGTTGCTTGAAGCAGCAGCAAATTGGGTGTTGCCCGCCTGCTGCTGCTTCATCAGCTACGGTCCTAGTGATCGAATGGCCAAGGTTCACTTCAATGGGAATCGCGGTCCACTTTGAGATTGCGCGTCGCAATCCATCCACACAACGCGTACTTCAAATTGACTTTCCAATCTGTGTTGCTTGAACTTTTAAATGCGACGCCACAGTTGTGATTGTGTTCGGCTAGGTGTTCCGTTTTAGATGGGGTGAAAGCGGATCTTCGTACTGCATGATGGGGTCAGTGGATTGAGTAGGAGCATGTGAATAGGCAAGTGGCAGTGACTTTATTTAGTGGCGAGTTACATCCACCAGGTTGCAGAACTGTTTAATAGACCCTTGTAACTTTTATTTGGAAAAGCTTTGCCAGGCGTAAACGTACCAAGTCCTGAAACACTGCAGCCGACCAGATTAACCCGAACCACTAAGCTGGCACCACTAGGAGGTTGCTCGGCCAGACAGCATCTTGTCAGTTTCGGTAAACCATATCGAGCTGAGTCGCATCAACATTTGTAGTTTCAATGTTCATTTCGTAGGTTGCTTCCGACAGTTCAGTGGGTGGGTTTAACTACTTTGGGAAAGTCCTAATATAACATTTCAAAAGTTATGTCTGCTGGGGAATCAAGGTTCTATCACTCTTAGGTCAAATGATGGTGTCGAACTATGGCAATTTGACTGCTTTACCAGTTAATGCACCAAATGAACCACTAAAAGTGAAAACGCCATCCAACGTCATGGAACCACGCAAATTGTCGATAGTCATGGAAGTTTGGCCAACAAGATTTAAAGCTTTTACCTCCACGCCGGCAGAGATGACTGCATCTTCTGCTGAAGTGTGCGGTTTCCATCATTTTATCATAAAGCCGCATCCATGAAACTTCTTGGATATTTGGTTGCATTACTTTTGCAGAAGCTAGAAAACGCTTGTGTCATCAAATCGAATACGGTGCATCCTATTGTGTCAGTTAGACCATACTGAAACCCAAATGTTTGTTGCGTAACGCCACGGTGGCATTAAGTGCAGGCTCCGATATACCAAAGGGCTTTCTCCCGTCTACCTTTAAAGGTATCAGTATTGCACGGGGGCTGCTTTGATAACGTGTATTCCCAGGCATACATCACGTTAGCTAAATATATTTCACAATGGTTGACTATCCGAGTTGCTTTTTCGATGCACTGAGACCAATTACACACTAGTAAATAGGAGCCAACATGTGTTGTTTATTGATTTTGTTCATCAAAACCAGAAACTTTTCAGCTAACATTCGCTCCGTTCTCCTGAAGATTCTATTTTTCTGACTGCCAACAGGCTGGGTTTGACATACACGGTGCTATGGGGCAGTGGGCCGCACCATTAACTGAAAGTAGCTTGTCACTGTGACAAAGTCAAAAGTGCATACCAATGTGAGAAATACGTTTTGTTATGTGAGTAAGAGTAAGATGGTTAGAATCGCATTTATTTAGTCCTTCAGCTTAGAATGAGGCATCTAAAATAAAATATGAGGGCAGCTCTGGGCCAATCCTGAACACTGGTATAGGCTAGCAGGTCATTTGAAGAGGGAGCAATGATAATGCTGCATGAGTGATGGAGGATCCAGAGCATTGTAGACTAACTTGATCATATTATCCATTCCATCGGTGCTCGGCTTTCCTTAGAACGACCAGCATCTTGTCAGACCAGCAGACAGGTGCAGGAAGTTCTAAGGATAAGATAGTTGAAAGACTTTAACCAAGGTTTCCCCACTAATATATATTTTCACCGGCTTGGTACGTCTTCATTTTACTCAGTACTAACTTTTAGCACTGCACAGTTGGAGGCTGTGGTAGCGGGGAATGTACTCTTACCCCATGTTTGGGCCTCATCTGTCCACCTTTCGATCCGAAGTGGGATCTGTGCGATTCACCGGATACGTGGATCGTGACAATGCGGGGAACAAGGTGAGCCATCGACATTAATAGCGTAGCCATCGTCCTCACCCAACCAGGCCGCTTTGCTAACGAGTGTCTCGTACAGCATAACAAATGATCTAAAGTTGATGCCAATGCAGTGCGACGAGAGCCGCAGCAATTTGGTCGCCCATTTAGCCCTGGCTTCACGTTTCAGCCAGATGCTTTCGGCCACACGGTATTAGCGGGTTGCAGTGATCCGAATCAATGATGGTTCCTCACTTGGTTTTGGTCTAGTATTGGGCTCCCTTTGACTAGCCTCCAAATAACTCTTCGTATGTTATCGCCTATTAAGCGGTGTTCGAATGGTGATGATTTGTCAGTACGATGAGAATAGTCTATAAATGGTAAACGAATGAGTGCTGGATAAGTCCAGTAGGATAATCGGAGTGAGGCTCATAAAACCGTGGGTAGAAATGACGGGAATTAAAGAAAAAAGTTGTGGTCTGTGGCGAGGTGAAGCCACTGAGAGATTTAACCGTGGCACAGCAGTTAGCTTTGGGACGCATACCAATATGTACTAAGATTGCTACTAACTTATGGGTGCAAAGTTAATTTGTAACCAACACGATTAATATGAGGCAACCATTATTTCGTACGCTTCGTTTTTCAATACTGCTCATTTGCTTTGACCGATTCTGGCACCAATTTCCGTCAACCACGAGATGTAGTGTAAAACATGATGTCCCATTGTTTGGAAAAAATTAAGTACATATAAACGCCGCGTTTGTAGCATAAAGCCGGTGCGAGAAATCCGGACGCCACAACTTGTTCTGTTGTTGGTTGTGATTCCACGTCACGTGGCATTCAGCGGCAGTTCAGATTGCAGTTTCAAATGGCAGATCGATGAAATGAAGATTTCCAGTTGTACAGTAAAAGCATCC